CCACTAAGTAATTAACCAGTAATCAACACTCACCAATAATGAATACCCAGTAATTGACACTTATTAATAAGAAACGGGTTACTATGATAGAACATTTCGTCCTAAATGGTATTAGACATGAATTTAAAAACAGATGTCGAACACTGTTGCTTGTGAGTCACTAGCGCCACCACCTTATATGAAATAATAATAAGTACCAGCAAATTAATATAACCTAATCATGAACATGAACGAACTAGTCATGCGCCTAGTGGTAAGCGTTTTCTGTCAGTAATAATTGCAGTGCCACTAAGAGCTTTAAATCGCAAAGATTTGAGGGGCTCTGCCACTACGCCCGTCACCCTGATACATAGGTTGATCTTGTGATAGAGTTCGACTAGTGAAGTACTGCCAATTAATCTATGGGCCTCATAAAAAAACTCATAGTCACTCAACGAGCTATGGAGCGAGCAATACTCGGTATTTCTCTACGTGATCGAATGAGAAATGAGGAGATCCGTAGAAGAACGAAAGTCACCGACATAGCTCGAAGGATTAGCCAGTTGAAGTGGCAGTGGGCAGGGCACATAGCTCGCAGAATTGACAGCCTTTGGGGAAGAAAGGTTCTCGAATGGAGATCCGGAACGACGGATGATAGATGGACGGATGACCTGGTAAGGCCGGTGGTTGACCGACGGATGCACGTCGCGTCCGATCGCCTAGTCTAGAAATCTTTGGGGAAGGTCATGTTCAGCAGTGGACGTTTTCCGGCTGGTATGTTGGTGATGATGTTGAATATTGTATTACATAGTTTTGTTTTTTGTGCACGTAAGACCGTTATTTTAGTTATTTTGTCCCGTATTTAGGTCTGCAGGAAGAGAAATTCTTATAGAAATAAGCAGTACCTTTTGTTTGTCTGTTTTTTTTCCTGTTTTTCCTGTGCAATATATAATATAATAATAATAATAACCTTGCAGGATTATATTACTAACATCATAAACACAACTTTTGTACCATAACTTTATGCAAAATATAATTAATGTATCAAAAATAAACCTTTAAATTTTTTTGTACTATCGACTTTTTAGTTCTGTATTTCGTAGTAAGTTCAAATAGGCAAATGTCCTCCTCATCTATCCCCACTCACATCCTGCGTTTTGCACAGTGTTGTCATCACCGTTTCGAGCGGTTTATTTAAATATTTTAATTTTTGTATGTAAGTAAAATCTGATGAATTATTACAAACACAATACAATACAAAATGGTTTATTTCTGTCAGAAAGGTCTATGAGTAGTTACATTTCATGTTTATTAACAAGTTCCTCAGTGAGAGCTCCAGCTCTTACTAGAACAGACTCCAGGCTGTACTAGGGTGGGGGCTTATGTTACAGATCACCAAGCTCACTCCCTCTACGTGTATAAAGAACGTAGCATTATTTAAAATATATATATATGATCATATTACAAAATAAAGCGTAACATATAACAAGAAACAATGTATGTGTGCTCTTGTGTGAGTGCGTGCGCGAGTGTGTGTGTCTGAGCAAGTATAAGTGAGTATGTGTGCGTGTGTGCGTGTGTGCGTGTGTATGTATGTGTGTGTGTGATTTCAACCTAATCCAGTACGGTAAGTAGTTTTTCAGTCGAGTGTGAACAGCCAGTTACTAATAACTTTCTTACATTCCGCTCTGCACACTGAATATTAAGAACACTGTTAATCTTAAATGTCAGGGAACAATAGTTGTTGTTTACGATGTTAGTAATATAGTCCTGCCAAGTTGTTAGTATTTAGAAATTGTTACGTATTGTCACACGATTATGTTCGATTGTGTATTATTTTCAATTACACATAAATATAAACTATGCAGTAGCCTGCGGGACTTGTCACTGAAAACTCACGGTACAGGTTAACACAATTTGAAATAATACATTATGTGTGTGACGATATACATTAATTTCGTTCCCGCATTAAGCACGTTAAAATATTTCTGAAGCATCTAGAATGTAGCGGATGGAGATCTAGTGCCTCGGTCTGTATATAAAGTAGTTACAGACACGTTCTATTTTACACTGCCTCCGTATAAATGGAAAATACAAAAGGTTCGGAATGACATATGAAATTGCAACGAACTTTAATACTATCTAAGCTGCATTAAATGAGTTACCTACTAAAAAATAAACACATAATATACAGAAAACATTAATCAATCATATTCAGCAAACAGTCCATGTTTTCAACAGTTTAACATTCACACATACATTATTGACATTAGTGGATATAAATAACTAATAATCGCGATACGTGTCCAAGAGACCCAAGTCGCGCGCGGGGCGCATCTTTTTCTTGAATTTTTAACCGACATCAAAAAAGAAGGAGGTTCTCAATTCGACTGTATATTCTTTTTTCCTCCTTTTTTTGTATGTGTGTTCCGCGATGACGCCCGGCATCTGTGAGCCGATTTTGATGATTCTTTTTCAGTGGGAAACCTCTAAGAGTGGCAAAGTAGGGGATGAATCCGGTTTCGCGCATTTTTTTCCGGTAACTGATTTCATTAAACCTTGGCAAATAGATGTAATGCCACAAACTTTTGAGGTCGACTTTTTATAGTACCCTGTACTGAGATAATTAACACTCATAGCAGTGTAGCAGCTTTAGGGCCATTTGATTAGCAGGTTCTGAAGTGTCATGAAGCTACATGCTTCCGTGCGAGCACTACTACTTCCTAAAGCATAATTGTGGTGTTCCATATTATGACGGGCTATGACAGAATAATAGCGAGGGCAATTTAATTGGCATAGTCCTCAGAGGCTGGGTCATTGACCCTTTTCACATGCTCCTTTTTTACTTTTTATGCTTCTTTTTTATTGTTAATTTTAATTGAATTTATTTTAATTATGTTTTTTGTTTTATTCGAAATTTACGCATGTCAAAAAAAGCCTATTTTATTATTATTTTTATTTTGTTCTTTTATTTTAATTAATAATAAATAATAACCAACCTATTATGACACCTATAATCTTATAAAAAAGAGATACTTAAAAAATATCTGCACAACGTATATCCTTTCACGACCTACGATAGAAGTTCAAAAATATTCATTTCGACTTCTTTTGATTTCTGTGGCATAGGAATCAGAATTTACTTTCACGCGTAGATATTATATTATATATTATATATTATATATTATATATTATATATTATATATTATATATTATATATTATATATTATATATTATATATTATATATTATATATTATATATTATGTATTATATATTATATATTATATATTATACATTGTAGGTATCATAAAATTATAGGAAAAATTTACCTCGCGTCATGAGTTTTACTTTGAAATTTAAAAACCCTGTTGTATTTCGTTGTCGAATTACAATCGTGCATAGAATAGTCGTGCACCACTATTAAAAACATTCATTATTATAAAGATTTTCGTAGAACTCACTCAACATATTAAAAAATTTTTGAAATCACGCACACGTCAACCCTTAGCGCTCGACCCACAAACTCAGCGCGTTCACTCGCAGTGGCTCGCGCCCCCCGACCCCCCTCGAGTACGCCTTTGTCGCTCTGCGCAAGTACATTCATTGCGCAACTGCGGGTTGTGAAATTGTGCCACTCTCTACAATTCTGTTCACAAATGTCTTAGTAATTGCCTAACATACACACAAAAAAATAATTGAATTTAAATTCTCTTCCTTTTTCTGAAGTCGGTTGAAAACAATAGGTATAATGCGTTTTTTTTAATTTCTAAATTCGTAACCTTTCAAGCCAGGTGTACATCAAAATGTACATAACAAGAGCAGTGATTAAGACCCAGAAATAACTATTATTCTTATGATAACTTAAATGCCCAGTGTAAATTATAGTGAAAATATTGCATTCAAATTTAGCGCTTGATATTTTAAATGACCATAGAGTATCTAGACAAGTACGTTTTTTATACAAACTGGGGGGCCTGAAGCATGTAATTGTTTACCTGACAGCAGATTGCGCTATACGTCGCACTTGCCGGCAAGTGCATTTCGTGTAGATTAATTACTTAGTTTTATGTTAGACTCGTACACACATCAAAAAAAGTTTGCGATCAACAGCATAAGCTCCTATAATTCTTTAAATTTAACTTTATCAAGAAAAAA